TAATTATGTCCCCACTGGATGCAACAAATGCCTCGTTTATAATGGGTTTTATTGGTTTTGTCTCGTCGCTCCGGGACACGGCATCACAATATGGTAAGAGCGTAACATTTCCATCACACGCTTGATGTATTCGGCCAATCACAATGCACTGGACACCTGGCCAATCACAGCACACCTCGCTTTTCAGACCGATGAGCTTTGTAAAAATCGACGCGTTTCAGAAAGGCGGGGCATAGAGGAGAAACAATAATGTACAGTATGTGGAAAATAATGTGTTTTTTTTTTTACCTTAAACCGCATAAACACATTTCATTACACCAAATACACAAAATAATGTTCTTTTTAGCAACATCATATGACCCCTTTAACTAAACTTGCTGCTTTGGCAAGGGGCGGGGCAGTACTGAAACACCGTCTTAAGCTGTTCACCAATCACAACGCACTGGGAAAGCTAACCAGTCACATCACATTTCGTTTTTCGGAAGGCGGGCGTTCATCAAACCCCGAACTAATCGAGCCGTTTGTGCCAAGCTGGGGAGAAAGGTATTGTAATAATGTAAATTATGTAAAAAATAATGCGTTTTTCGAACCACCAAGCATGAGAGCATGTTCTAGTACACCCCCAAAACAAATTCAAGACATTGTAAAAGAGCATAATAGGACCCCTTTAAATGCATTAGACTGCATCTGTTTAATACACATCAATGTTACAGATGTGGCATAAGCTAGTATTTGATGTTGACATGCAGTGCTTTTCTGTGTCTGTCTTCTTTATCATGCAAGGTCAGCAAGGAAATAACATGACAGCATCTGCCTGATTCTGATATCTAATTAAATCTGTCCCGAGGAAAGGCATCTGCTGGAAAGAGATCAACAGTACAGAGTAAAGCTGGAAAAAAAACACAGTAAAGCTGCAGTTGCAGTGCAATGTGGAACTGTAGCAGGGTTTTTTGCTCAGGAAACAATGTCATTTGTGTGCTAAGTGTGAACTTCTACTTATATCATTAATAGCAAACTGAACTTTGTTACACTGATAGATGTCACACTGTTAACTGAGTAATGCAAATAAATAAATAAATACATAATAAAAGTGTTAACAAGACAATTGCATGTTTTTCTATGTTTTTTTCACTAGAATATTAGTTATTTTGTATATCCCACTGTTACATTTTAATGGGTTTCTTTATATCAAATACAAATATGATGAATACATACACTAAAAAAAAAGAAAAATAGAATGAAATAAAATATTAAAATATAGAATATGAATTCTATGTTTGAACCCTAATGTGAGTGACATCATAAATGTTTTTCACAAGTAAAATATCGTGTGACACAAACCACGAAATATTGACTGAAGTAATCTGCAATGATATGTTTGCATTTTTAACCTTGCAACATTCACAACATTTCAAATGCAAATATTAATATGTTTTCAATTATAGGTTATTAAAAGGCATGCCAAAACTAAGTGATATTACTCATTATTGTTTTTCAGTTAGTTTTGATAAATAATTACAGGTACTGTAATTACAACACTGTAACCAGCAGGGTCAGAAACTAATGGGAACTTGGGGCAAAATGCCACCAAAATTAATAAAATTCAAGATATGAGGACAAAAATTAGCCCCTGTATGCCCCTTGTTTTTTAGATTTACAACATATGATATTTTAAAGCAATATCACACATTATAAAGTTAATATTAAGCGAGTTTAGTGACAGTATTGTCAATATTGTCTGTTTTTTTTGCTCTACTGTATTTCACCAACAAAATTAGTTCAAACAAAGCTGCAGTAGCAGGAGCAATATGATTCACTTCTGAATGAATCTGTGTTTTTGGATTTGAATCAGTCTAACGAGTGATTCAATGACTCACTCATAAAGACACACATTAAAGACTCACATGCTTCATTCCTGAATGAATCAGCCATTTTGAACAAATCGAATTTGAACCATTTAATTATTCAATGACTCACTCATTAAGCTTGCCGCCACCTACTGGTTTTAATTTCACATTTTAAAGTATCATTTTTGGTAACACTTTATTTTAAAGTGTCCTTGTTACATGTACTTACTATTATAATAACAATAAATTATGCATAATTACATGCAAGTAACCCTTAAAATAAAGTGTAACTTTTCAAATTTCTACATTCAAAGTATTATATATAAAAAATTTATATCATAGGATTATGCAACTTTAATTGCAGTGTAAATGCATTTATTCCAACTCAGAGCTGCATTAAACAGTCTGTGTGAATTCAATGCCACCTGAGGTGCAGCTTTTGTGCAAAGATGAATTTTGTTGATATGCATTTCATTTAATTGGTAACAGTATTTCAAATTCACTTAAATGTACTCGATACATTCAATTAGAATAATAAAGCACTATATCTATCTATAGTGTCTCTAGATATATTTGATGGCCACTAATCTGACTACTGGGGTCATCTTGTAGTGTTCTCCCAATGTCTATGGTAGATTTTGGACTTAGTACGTCCAGTCTAAGGTGAAAAAATAAGATTTCTTAAAGTTCAATAGTAACCTTTTCAAATGAAATACTTCTCAGATAAGAAAAACAACAACTTTCAGACCCAAATGGCACCATTTCCTGAGAATGACCCAGTAACCTTCTAAATGTCAACACACTTTAGCCTCGAAATAAACAAAATTCCGAGCAGTTTGACATCTCACTATTCAAAGAAATGAGGAAACGTGAACCGACAGGGATCTCAGTAAGTGCGCTGTCTGTGCTGACAGTGAATAAGGAGTCTTCAAGTCATGCTGTTGCTATGGGAACTGCTTCTGTAATGACATGTGGCGCAGATAAACTGATAGTTTGCTTTTTTTCTCCTGTGCACACACATTTTCCCCTTTCATCTTGTTTACACCTTTCCTCATTTTCACTTTCTAGTGTATTTTCTCTGTCTGTATATTGGAGACATGAGCGCTCTCTGCTCTCTAGCCTGCAGTCTTACATATTCCTGAGTGAAGTCGATGAGGTTCTGCAAGTCTATGTCATCTCTGTAGGCTCGTATGTTGTTGTTGATGAAAAAGTTGAGCTGATCTTTAATCCAGTCTTTAAAGACAAAGGCCAGGATACCGGCGGTCAGCTCCAGGAAGAAGATTATCCCCAGAAACACAGAGAACTGGGAGAGGAGAGAGACAAATACACTTTACTACAGTCATTAACACTCATGTTACCTCTATACCTCATCCACTGTAGTATTTCTTTTTCTGTTCTGAATAATGTAATAAAATGTCAACATTGAGAAAAAGATTTTTGTATTTTTAAATTATTGTCACCTGTTCTGAATAATGTAATAAAATGTCAACATTGAGAAAAATATTTTTGTATTTTTTAATTATTGTTACCAAAATGCATTGACAATAGTTTAATTTTTGCAGTCTGAGTAAAAAAACAACAACAAATTAATATATACAACATACTAAATGGCAATAAATAAATAAAAGAGTGACATCAGATTGTAAATTTAGTTTGTGCTAAACAGATTTAGCAAATTTATCAAATGTATTTTTTATTATAGTTTCTAAAATGCATTGCAATTTATGCAATGCGAGTCAAAGCAAATACACACATACATAGAAAATGCCAAAACTGAAAAAAAAAAAAAAAGATCTAATTGCTTTATTACAAAAATTAAAATTACACTATTGTAATATTTTTTGCAATTTAAGTCCCAAAATATTAAATAATAAATAGTACTATAAAAAATGCCACTCGTGACCTCAGATTGTAAAGTATAAATTTTGTGATTTTTTAAAATCACTTTTGCAAATGAAAAACATTTTAAAGTGCATTTATTGATCCATGTTCTATTACATTATTTCTAGCAGACATGCATTGTTAGACCTAGCATGGTTTTGTATCAGTAAACCAATGACTGGTGTTAGATAAGTGAGCAAAGTACAGTGTGTTATGTACAGCGTTGTTTGACATCCAGTTTTGTCATAACATACAAGCACAGAAGTAATCAATCCTGTTCTTCACTTGTTGCATTTACAAACATCAAATATATATTCTATTTTAGTATTTTCTAACTGTGCCTAAAATGCTTTGTACATGCACTCTCTGGTAGATGTTCGTCCCGCATGTATTAACGACTGCCGAAACACCCATGCATGTAAGTGTTAAAAAAAGCACTAATCTGTTTTGTAGGAGGCTACACCTACACCTAATAAGAATCAAAACTTGAATACATACAAATTTGAGCAGGAAGGTGTTTTCCCTCAGGGCCCCGATACAGCCAGCGAAACCCAGGATGAACATCACCCCCCCAACCACCAGAAACAACCACACTGGATCAAATCCACCCAGATCCGTGATGGAGGAGATGTTAGACAGAACTCCCTGAGGAACACACAGAGCTCTAATTAGTTGAACGGCTTTCCAGAACCTTGAGAATTTGTTTCAAATGTGATTGTTTGCAATTACGGAGATATTTGCGAATATTTCATTATAAACCGAAACCGTGTGGTTTCAAAGTCACAAATATGGCACAGAAAATGGCAAACTGATCAAGCATACACAGACACACAATATATCAAAGTGTGTTTATACATGTTTGTGTGTAAAAGATCAGACAGACTATTGAGTGAGAAATTTAAACAATATTTTCAGTCTTATGAAACTGTCCAAAAATGCATTTTTGTGGTCCACTCTACATGGTGTGTTTGTAGACAAATAACTCTGCACAGTGTGTGTGTGTGTGTGTGTGTGTGTCTATATATGGAGAAAACAGCTGCACACATGTGATAATGCTGTTAGCTGTTATTTACATCCCTATGTAATAAATAAATAAATAGATAAATAAATCAACTTAAAACAAAACATAAAAAAACATTTTATTTCAGCTAGCTGCTAAGGCAACATTTCTTATTTGCATTTAGAAAACTGAAATAAAAATGAATAAAAACTATATTATATAGATTTAAAAAGTACTTTACTTTAAGTAAAATTAATATGAAAAATGTTAATAAAAATATAATATTATCGCAGTAATCCTAAAACATCACTGCACCTCATACAGGACATCTCAGCTTCACATGTACGTTAATATGCCTATCAAATAAAGATAAATTGTATGGATTATGCATTCAGTCTTGTTTTTCTCACCTTCTCGCTCCATGCCCACAATCCGATTCCAAGGAAAGCCACACCAAGCAACTATAAAACAAGACAGATATGGCATTACTTTAGCAATGGTGATTGTGATAAACACAAAGCAAAGCAGATTAAGAGGTTTTAAAAGGTTGTAAAGGGGTTTGAGATGTTACAGCATGCATCACACATTATTGAAAACAATCATTTCACACATTATTTGTTCAACTTTTTTTATTTGTGGAACACAAAAGAAGAAGAATTTTAGTTCCCATTGACTTCTACTGTATGGTCCAAAAATATAATGGAAGTCATGGGAACCAAAACTGTTTGTACCAAAATATCTTTTGTGTGTGTGAACTATCCATTTAAATGTTTCTTTAACCCACAATTATACATAAAAAATAAAGTGCAGACCAACCTAGAGTGTAATATTACACTCTGATATGAAAATGTAAAAACTATGTCGTCCATGATTATGAAAAGACATGTGAGGCAAAGCATAGATTACTATTCTCCAAAGTACACAGTAATGTCTCCATTTCAAAACCCCCTTCCCAGTGAGCCAATGCTGAACACTAGAGATAAAAAGACGGCAAGCATTTTATCAGATCCCCTCAGCCTGACCAAACATTAGGTCATGACTCGTAACCATTGACTATAAAGGGTGCCAGCCTCTATATCTCACTCTTAAGGTCTTGTTTGTAATTTCAGCAGCTTCTCATATCACACTCTGACACAGTTTCTGCAATCTGATCTTATATGGTGGCATATGAGCAGACATCTGGTTCTTCCCATGAGACGTATGTCCTCATTGTGTCCACAGGGCTGTGATTCTGCTAGCCTTTCAGAACTGGAGAACATCGCCTTTATTTGTACCTTATTTCTTCTTATACTATGTTTTTTCTTTTTTTCTGCCAAACATTAAACACACATATGCACTGTGTTCACATTAACTGTAAGGCTTACAAATATAAAGAAAGATAGAACTGTACTATTGGCAGATTTTGTATAGCTGAAATTATAATTTAATTAAAGGAATAGCCAAAATTACTTTAAAGGTCAAATGAACGGAATTGTTCACTCAAAAATGATAATTTGCTGAAAATCTACTCACCATTAGGCCTTCCAAGATACAGATGAGTGTGTTTTTTCATCTGAACAGATTTGGAGAAATGTAGCATTGCATCACTTGCTCACCAAAGGATGCTCTGCAGTGAATGGGTGCCGTCAGAATGACAGTCCAAACAGCTGATAAAAACATCACAATAATCCACAAACAATCCACACCACTCCAGTCCATCAATAAACGTCTTATGAAATAAAAAGCTACGCGTTTTTAAGAAACAAATCCATCATTAAGACATTTTAATAAGTACAAACAGTCCAAAACGGTTCTAAACAAGCATGTGGGTGGATTTTTTCACTGGAGGAAGTGTTACATGGATTATGAATGCATATTTTGGCCAGAAACAATGGTTTAAATTTAAATGTTTCTTACAAACGTGCAGCTTTTCTCTTCACAAGACATTAACTGATGGACTGGAGTGGTGTGGATTATTGTGATGTTTTTATCAGCTGTTTGGACTCTCATTCTGACGGCACCCATTCACTGCAGAGCATCCACTGGTGAGCAAGTGATGCAATGCTGCATTTCTCCAAATCCATTGTGATGAAGAAAGAAACTAATCTACATCTTGAATGGCCTGAGGATGGTTACATTTTCAGCAAATTTTCAGTTATATGAGAAGAATAATAATGATAAAAAAAAAAGAGCTAGACGTGGGTGGAGACACATGGACCTGAATGTCAGCTATGCAATTCTACACAAATACATTATTGCTTTCAAATATAACCACTGTGTTTTAGTGGGGTCAAGACCTTTAGTCAGATCACCCATCTGTACTGTATATCACAAGCAATCAGACTTGAGAAACCTCCAGAATTTCATTCACTATTCAAGGAAACACTCACAGCTACATTTTGCCAAGTCGTTTTAGTCTAAACGGCCCTGTTTGTCCCTCATAACGCTCCATCGTTTCACCATCAGAGTGCCCACTGTGCCTCACACAAGAGTTTTTGTGTACATAAATTATGCAAGACATAACAGTCTCTCTCATACAGTACTTCTTTTAGTAAAACATGAACTCTAACTCGGACACAGTACAGTCCTGTATTTACTTAATACACTGGAAAAATAGATGTGGGATTTACTTTCACTTTCACTCAGAAATTGCTAGTAAATTTAAACAAATAATTACAAAGAAATGGCAAAACATATTCCAATAATCTTTGTATTATTTACAACTTTTAATTTAATTAATAAGTAGTAAGGTAGTTGTTAAGTTTGGTATGGGGTAGAATTAAGAGATGGTCATGCAGAATAAGACATTAATAAGTGATTTATAAGTACTAATAAACAGACAGTATGCTAGTAATATTCATGCTAATAAGAAACTAGTGAGAATTAGTCCTTAAACTAAAGTGTTAGCATTATTATATTTTTTTAAATTCCACAATGAACATATTTCTTCAAATGTAGTTTTTTTTTTTAATTTATGTATTTTTGTAGAGATATCCTTTAAAAAAAACAATTTAATTAATGCTGGTCTAGGCTAGTAATACTGGTTTTGTGATGGTGGACCAGAATAGATTGTTAAGCTGGTTGACCAGCATGATATTTCTGTAGAAAGTAGTTAAGAAGCCTGATGTTAGACCCTGGCAATGCAATATCTCTCTCTCTCTCTCTCTCTCTCTCTCTCTCTCTCTCTCTCTCCAAAGGAAGTTGGTTAGACTATGTCATGTTCTTTTGTTCTTCAGTTTGTTTATATCAAAGAGGAAATACAGAAATTATGAACGATACATCAGTGTAGCGCTTTCACTTCTTTCATATTTTTCATCTTGCAATCACAAATCATTTTTATTCCCAGATTAAATTGCTTTGTAAAAACAATGTTTATCTACAGAAAAGAACATGAAATGACATGAAATGAAATGCTAGTTTAGATGATTTTTTTACTTGGGAACATTGGTTTCACATCAGAAATAATGCACCATTAAGCACTGACACAACAAGGCTCGACGGGAAAGATGAAAATAAAATGTGTGGAG